GATCACGGCTAACTACAGCCTTGACCTCCCAGGCCCAAGGAATCCTCCCACCTCAGCCTCCCTAGTAGCTGGGATCACAGGTGTGTGCCATCACACTCGAATAATTTTTTTGATTTTTAGTGGAGATGGGGTCTCGTTATGTTGCCCAGGCTGGTCTTCAACTCTTGGGCTCAAGCAGTTCTCCCACCTCAGCCTCCCAAAGTTCTGGGATTACAGGCATGAGCCACCATGCCTGGCCTTCCTTTTTTTAAAAGACTGTAGAAGAGACCCTGTATCTTAGCAAAAAATAATAATAATTTTTTTAAAAATCCCCCAAAGAGTATCAGTCTCCTGTTTATCTAGAGAATTAATGACAATAGCCTTGCTTTTTTTTTTTTTTTTTTTTTTTTAATTGAGACGGGAGTCAGGCTCTGTCGCCCAGGCTGGAGTGCAGTGGTGCAATCTCAGCTCACTGCAAGCTCTGCTTCCAGGGTTCACACCATTCTCCTGTCTCAGCCTCCCGAGTAGCTGGGACTACAGGAGCCCGCCACCATACCCAGCTATTTTTTGTATTTTTAGTAGAGACGGGGTTTCACCGTGTTAGCCAAGATGGTCTTGATCTCCTGACCTCATGATCCACCCGCCTCGGCCTCCCAAAGTGCTGGGATTACAGGTGTGAGCCACCGCACCCGGCTGGCCTTGCTTTTTAGAGACGGTTGAAACGAGAGAATACTTGGTAAGGCAAACGGGTGTGCATGCCAATTCTTTGGGTCCTGGACCACCTTTGAAAATATGCAAAGCTCTGTACACTCTCAGAGAAGTATGCATATATGCAGAGTTTGGTTTATAGTTTTCTGTACTTCACTGTCTCTGAGGGCAGTCTTTTTGCCCTGTGTTAGCCTTGGATTAGAGGGTAACAACAACCATGTAAGAACATGGTTCTCAAGTGTGGTGTTAGAAATACTTATCATCAGGTTCCACCTCAGAAACAGGTTGGGACCCAGCTCTCTGTGTTTTAACAAGCTTTCCAGATGATTTTTGCCACACTTTAGGGAGAGTCCCCAATGAAATTTGTACTCCTGTGTGGTCCTTATGCTTCACACCTCCCATATTGTGCCTTTGAGAGATCACCTGCCATCCTCTTGTTGTAACAGTACTCTATTCCTCCTAGGCTATGTCTTGCCCAGCCACGTGACTGAGGAGATGCTGTGGGAGTGCAAGCAGCTTGGGGCTCACTCCCCCTCCACCTTGCTGACCACCCTCATGTTCTTTAATACGAAGTAAGTGTTCTAGAGGCTCCACTGCTGGCATCTGTCCAGTGAAGAGTGTACAAACTATCCAAGAGGCCTTCTGAATTCCTCTGACATATGTTTGAGAAACTGGGCTACTGAAAGCCCTAACCCCACTTGGCTGCATTTTGTTTGGTAACCAGTGAGGCAAACACCCTTGCCAGACCCCTACCGTCCATCTTGATGTAGCTCCTGCACTGGATACTGGTTGAGTACAAGCCTGCCCAGATCTTGGGAATGTGGGTGGTGGCTTGTCTGAAGCACCAGTAGGCAGAGGATGAGTCATGGTATCCTCCCGGCACCCCTCCCTCTGCCTTGCATTTTACTTGTGATCCAGGTACTTCCTATTGAAGACAGTGGACCAGCACATGAAGCTGGCCTTCTCCAAGGTCTTGCGACAGACAAAGAAGAACCCCTCTAATCCCAAGGATAAAAGCACGAGTATCCGGTACTTGAAGGCCCTTGGAATACACCAGACTGGCCAGAAAGGTAGGGAAAGGAGGCAGGGATGGTAAAAACAGGTGCTACTTGTCCTGCCCTTGTGCCTGTGAGGCTGGTGATAAGTGTAAAGGTTGAGATTTTCTGGATAAAATTCTCCACTCCCTTCTCACCAGCCAAAAATTCCAAACTTTCCTCCTAGAAGCAGAGAAGCCCCAGAGAGAATAGCTGCCTCTTCCCTTAGTAGTCACTGCCCATGCCTCATACCTTCCCTCCCCAGACCCTGTATTTCCTAGTTGGGCTGGCTGAAAGCCTAAGGTTCCTGATTTGGGTCTGAGGTAAGGCAGTCTGATGCCAGGTCCGTGGTGGTGGGGATGTGTGTTTTATAGTTACAGATGACATGTATGCAGAACAGACGGAAAATCCAGAGAATCCATTGAGATGTCCCATCAAGCTCTATGATTTCTACCTCTTCAAATGGTGAGGAGGCTTTATTGTGACTGGCCGTCCATGTGTGTGCATGTGTGTTTATGCGTGTGCATGTGTGTTTATGCGTGTGCATGTTCACTTGTGTGATAGCTTATCACACGGGAGAGGCATTCTCTAGTCCCAAATCACATAAAAACACTTCCAGAAAGCTAAATGTAGAAGCACCCTTGCCCTGGCTTTTCAAATGTGTGTGATGTGCCTAGCACTGATAGAAAAAGGGGTACCAGGTCCCTACAGTCAACTTTCATGAAAAGGATATGAAGGTACAGAGAATCTACCTTCATCACATATTGAGCATGGCCCTGCTTCCTGACCTTGACCTTTTGTCACTGCCACCATTAATCTAGGTGAGACTTCTCTCAGCTTTTTCTCCTTTTTGCCATTCAGTGGTTTCTCATTATATAATAATTCTTTTATGGCAGACAGCTCCTTTCATGCACTCCCCCTTGCTAACCTCGTATCTGTGGAGCTTAGTTCCCCAGCCACACTAGCTCCTCTCCACTCAAGGGCATCATATTATGCCTCTTTTCAACTTAAACACAGCTTATCAGGGAAGCATTTCCACATTCCCCACCTCTTCCTGTGGCTGTTTCCTAGGTAGCACTTATCACTGTTTGTTATTTTGTATTTGTGTAACTTTAATTGCTACCTGTGTCCCCTCCTATCTGTAAGCTCCATGAGGTAGGAAATACTGTTGCTGCCCATTTTTTTTTAATATCAGCACCTGGTGCTGACCTGGCACTAGTAACCCTTAAATAAATCTTAAATGGATGGATGAATAACTGTTAGAGGATACAGGATGCCAAGTACTTAATAGAGGTACAGCACGGTTAGGGGGAGGGGAGTGAACCCAAGTTAAGGGCCCCAGTGTAATGGCCATCATTAGTGGGTAGAAAACACAACATGAGGCTGGGCACAGTAGCTCACACCTGTAATCCCAGCACTTTGGGAGGCCAAGGTGGGTGGATCACCTGAGGTCAGGAGTTCAAGACTAGCCTGGCCAACATGGCGAAACCCCGTCTCTACTAAAAATACAAAAATTAGCTGGGCTTGGTGGCACGTGCCTATAGTCCCAGCTACTCAGGAGGCTGAGGCAGGAGAATCACTTGAACCAAGGAGGCAGAGGTTGCAGTGAGCTGAGATCACCCCCACTGCACTCCAGCCTGGAGACAAGATGCCACCTCAAAAACAAAAAACAAAACACAACATATGCAAAGACTTGGAGATAGACCCTTTGAGCAGTGAAGTTGGCTTCAAGTAAGATAAGGATGGACTCACATGAGTCCATGGGAGCCCTAGGCTGGTGCATTCAGTGATGGATCACAGGTGGTATGTGGGAAGGAGGGGCAGAGGGGAAGCAACCCAACATTTGGGGGATTTGCAGTAGTCCCAAAGGAGGACCAGGATGTAGTGTGTGGTGGCTGCATGGAATTCAGTAGCTGTGCCACAATACCTCGGGACCTTACTGTTTGCAGACAGCATCTGTCTGGGAGGTTCAAGGTGGGAGGGTTGAAGTTGTGTTGGTGGTACCCAACTTTTACTCACATATTCTTCAGCCCCCAGAGTGTGAAAGGCCGGAATGACACCTTTTACCTGACACCTGAGCCGGTGGTGGCCCCCAACAGCCCAATCTGGTACTCAGTCCAGCCTATCAGCAGAGAGCAGATGGGACAAATGCTGACCCGGATCCTGGTGATAAGAGAAATTCAGGAGGCCATCGCAGTGGCCAATGCAAGCACTATGCACTGAGATGCCTTGGCCATAGTGCAAGAGAAAGCAGCCAGGAAAAACCAGAGAGACTTTCACACTAAAGAAGAGGCCTCCATTTTTTCTTTTTTCTTTTTTTTATTGGTGTAGTTATGAAGCCTTTCAGGCTGCTTCTGTTTAAAATGTAAAAGAAAACTTTGCCCCCTTTGCATCTTCATAAACCTGCTGCGGCAGACTCCTCAGCCGATGGTGGCTCTGGGTTTCCTTGAGATCATATGTCCTAGAAAGTTGCTGACTGACTCTTTTTTTGTCTGGGGCCTGGGGAAAGGGCTTGGACTGTTAAATGTGGCCCCTTTCCATCTTCGAGAGAGATGGAATTAATGATGAATGGACCCTGCAAGGGAATCTCCCCAGCTGACTTCCACTGGGCTGACAGACTTTGCTGACCACAGGGGAACGATGTTCTTTTCTTTCTTCATGCTCAAACATAAACTTAGCATCTTAATGGAAGAAAAATGAGGGGAACTTCAATTATGATTTATTAAAGACAATTTCTATTACACCCTCCTTTATGACAAGTGACATTTTAGATGTTAAAGTAAAAACTTTACCATGCCTTTTTTTTTTTTTTTTTTTTTTTGGCCTAACATTGAGGCCTTAAAACCTGAGGCTCCTGTGCCTGATGGAATTCTTGTAACATACACTTGTGTATCATATAAAGATACCACTCTGTTTCTCTTAATGTATTCTTACTCTAGTTGTTTATTAAGAATGACAAGCACGTCTTTTCAACATGCTAGTGAACAACGCCTCTTTATTTTGGGGAGGAGCCCGGCGGGACAGTGGAAGTAAAGCCTTGCCTGTTAATTGAACTGGCCGGGGTCCTGCGGGGAGTGGGGTGGGACTTGAAATCAGCTCCTCAGTGACGAGGCTTGTGTGTGCTGTACGCATGCGCTGTTTCTTCAGCGGCAGCTCCGCCCCTGCCGCAGCGAAGCGGGTCTGTTCCGGCCGCGCGTACTACGACCTGACGTCAGCAACGTGCGCGGCGCAGTGACGAAGTTGGCTGGTTTATATTGGCGCGGCCCAGACGGTAGAGGTCTCTGCGGCGCGGTCCTCGGAGACACGCGGCGGTGTCCTGTGTTGACCATGGCCGACTACCTGATTAGTGGGGGCACGTCCTACGTGCCAGACGACGGACTCACAGCACAGCAGCTCTTCAACTGCGGAGACGGCCTCACCTACAAGTGCGGGCCTATGGGGCTCACCTGGGCGAAGAGAGGGGTGGCATGCTGGGTGAAAAGGCCAGATGGGGGCTTCCGTGGAGCCTTCTTGGGCGTAGGCGCGGGGGACAGGTTCCGGGAATTGGCCACCCACCTCCGGGGCTCACTTTAAGACATCGGGAGCGGTGCTTGGGATACGGAGAAACATCTCAATAGTGCTTGGAATTTCAGGCTGGAGACTCCGTGCTCCAGACACACGGAATTGTCAGGGTGCCAGGAGCACTGATGACAGCTCGGTGGCATAAAAGGTCCCCTGTCCCTACTTCCACCTTGTACTATGTCTGTGACACACAGGCTCTGTCAGTGCCACTCTCTGCTCACATGGGTTACAAGTTGGTTGATATATGCGGGATGGAGTCTCATGCTACCCTATGCCTGAGAGCTTTACTCCCAATTCACTCCCTTCCCTCGCAGTGACTTTCTCATTCTCCCTGGGTACATCGACTTCACTGCAGACCAGGTGGTAAGTATGATCAGGAATTGGGTCCTGAACATCAAGGTGAGCTAAGGTGCTACTGTCACCTGGTCTCTGGGCTACCTCACCAGATTGGGCTTGGGTGTGGATTTTATGGGATGTTACTGGTTAGCATGCAGGTCATACAAAAGTCCTTTTTTGTGGGGGACTCAGTAACACCTTGAGGAGTAAGAGATGCTTTCCCACACTGGCTGACCTTTGTCTCCTCAGGACCTGACTTCTGCTCTGACCAAGAAAATCACTCTTAAGACCCCACTGGTTTCCTCTCCCATGGACACAGTCACAGAGGCTGGGATGGCCATAGCAATGGCGGTGAGCCCCATGGGGTGTGGGGGAAGGAGCAAGGATGTCATCGCCTTTCCCCAAAGGCATCCAGTCCTGCCTCTTGTCACTTAGTATTTCTCTTTTTATCCTGTAGCTTACAGGTGGTATTGGCTTCATCCACCACAACTGTACACCTGAATTCCAGGCCAATGAAGTTCGGAAAGTGAAGGTCAGAAGGGCAAAGATCATTAGCAAGCACTCCTGGGAATTGCACTGAGGTGGGGTGGGGTGGGAGTAGGGGTTTATTCTATTAATTTAGTATTCTTTCTTCCCACCATGGGGTTCAGTTACTGAGAAGACCCTGAGATTCTGTTTCTTAAAGCAGCAGCAATAGACCAGGTGGACAGTGCCTCCAGCCTACCCATGTCTCCTCTAAGATGTGTTGGTGTGATTTGGTCTTGTGGCACTGCCAAAGGGAGCGTTAAGCAGAGACCCCATGCTTCAGATCAAGAGCCTGATGAAAGTAGTTCAAAGATGCGATACCTTTCTCACCATCCCTTTCCAGAAATACGAACAGGGATTCATCACAGACCCTGTGGTCCTCAGTCCCAAGGATCGTGTGCGGGATGTTTTTGAGGCCAAGGCCCGGCATGGTTTCTGCGGTATCCCAATCACAGACACAGGCCGGATGGGGAGCCGCTTGGTGGGCATCATCTCCTCCAGGGATATTGATTTTCTCAAAGAGGAGGAACATGACTGTTTATTGGAAGAGGTGGGTGCCACTGTCAGAGTAGATCCAAGCTCTGGCAGCCCAGGTTGAAGACAAGAGGCTTCTGTTGTCTGTATGACATCTCTGATAGCCTCTCCCCTCTGGGAAAGAGAAGGGTCAGGCCAAGTTTCTGACTCCTTCATTGGGTTTCTGCATCCTTTCTCCACCAGAGGCTTTCAAACTGCCCAAATGCTTGCTAGTATTCATGTTTCATTTTTTTAAACCCCTAAGGTAGGGGCAGTGCTCGAGGTCTGCCCTCATTTTCTTGCCATTGTTCCTGGGTGGTCCTCCTTATTCCATAGTGTAAGAGGCTGCTCCCTGTGCCATGTTGCCCTTTCTACTCATCCCTCACTTAATACCATACTGCTTAGGAACTATTGGGATCCCTTGAGGAAGGGTGATTTGGATGTGAATGTATGAACGTGGTGGTCCATAGAACTTCACCTCTGAATTAGGCAGGGCATGTAGAGGTGACTGGCCATAGGCCAGGCGCAGTGGCTTACCCCTGTAATCTCAGCACTTTGGGAGGCCGAGGCAGGCGAATCACGAGGTTAGGAGTTCAAGACCAGCCTGGCCCACATGGTGAAACCCTGTCTCTACTAAAAATACAAAAAATTAGTTGGGTGTGGTGGCGCCTGCCTGTAATCCCAGCTACTTGGGAAGGAAAGAAAAAAAGAGTTGACTGACCATAGTCGATGACTGGCCCTTCGCATCTCACCTCCCACGTAGATAATGACAAAGAGGGAAGACTTGGTGGTAGCCCCTGCAGGCATCACACTGAAGGAGGCAAACGAAATTCTGCAGCGCAGCAAGAAGGGTAAGTCCTAGAGCTGGGAAAGGGCCTGGAACTAATGCTCAGGGTCCTGATCCATGTCCTGCCCTGACCACAGGAAAGTTGCCCATTGTAAATGAAGATGATGAGCTTGTGGCCATCATTGCCCGGACGGACTTGAAGAAGAACCGGGACTACCCACTAGCCTCCAAAGATGCCAAGAAACAGCTGCTGTGTGGGGCAGCCATTGGCACTCATGAAGATGACAAGTATAGGCTGGACTTGCTCGCCCAGGCTGGTGTGGATGTAGTGGTTTTGGTGAGCTGCTACACAGGTGGGTTGGGGCAATAGGGGCAGCTGCCACATCACAGTCTGAGACTTAGTTCCTGTCCCAGGACTCTTCCCAGGGAAATTCCATCTTCCAGATCAATATGATCAAGTACATCAAAGAGAAATACCCCAATCTCCAAGTCATTGGAGGCAATGGTAAGGCAAGATTGTGCCCTGAGGGATGTGTGATGGGAGTGGATAAGCTGGGCTCCCACCTTAACCTTCACCTGAGCGTTTTCCTTTCATTCACCTTAGTGGTCACTGCTGCCCAGGCCAAGAACCTCATTGATGCAGGTGTGGATGCCCTGCGGGTGGGCATGGGAAGTGGCTCCATCTGCATTACCCAGGAAGGTAAGAATATACTTTGATAGGGCCCACATACCTTGGAGCCAAGCACTCTTATGGGAACAGGAGTCCTCCAATAGGGGTAATCCTGGGGCCAAACTGACCTCTTGGATGGGTGACATGGCTGGAAGCAAGACAAGGTCTTGTCATCCTTCACCTGCCACTCCCTTGCCTAGCCTGGCCTTCGTGCTCCTGCTCTGCACCTTCTCTAAACTCTGGTCTGTTTGTTTTATTTAGTGGCTCCCAAGATCCCTCCAGACATAAAGTCCCACAGCCCCAAATGCCCTTCTACTGTCACAGGTTGCTATAGTAAGTCCAGCCCGGCCCACTGGCCCGGCCCAGCTGCCCACTGCCCGGCTGCTTGGTTGACGTAGCTGTAGCTCCCGGGGTTTGTGGTGCTGATGGGTGGGCAGGGCCAACTGATACACAGACCATGGTTTGTGGGGGGTGCTCAAGAACATAGCTCCCCTCTTCCTCCTAGGGTGCTGATAGGGCAGGACTTTCCTAGGCAGGCCCTTTCCTGCCCACATCTTCTGCAGTAGGCATGGCTCAGGGACCATCTCCTTTGTGTGGTCCTTGCTCTTCCACACAATTGCCTGCTGCACACCACAACCTGCTCTCCCACACAACCACTGCCCTTACCTTGCCTGAGCTGCCCACCATTCAGGAAGGGCTGGGCCTGACTTCAGTGCCTCTGGGGACTAACTGCACGGTCGGGGGCTTTCCCGGCTGCTAAGACTGCATGTGCCTGAGGCTGTCCTGGGCACTGCACACATGCACGCGCACATGTGGGGGTGAGTAGAGGGCAGCACAGCAGTTTGTACTATTTAAGGCACATGGGGTAGCAGCCATCCCAGACATGTCTCTTCCTTATCCAACCTGCAGTCCTGATGCAGATGTAGCCAAAAGCTCCTGGGTCTTAAATGTGGCCACAGGGTCCACTGCCTGTCCCCATTAACCCTATCCACCCATGTGTTCCTCCATCTCAACAGTGCTGGCCTGTGGGCGGCCCCAAGCAACAGCAGTGTACAAGGTGTCAGAGTATGCACGGCGCTTTGGTGTTCCAGTCATCGCTGATGGAGGAATCCAAAATGTGGGTCATATTGCCAAAGCTTTGGCCCTTGGGGCTTCCACAGGTGAGGCCCAGTACCCGTGAAGGCCAGTGGGACGTCTCCCCAGTGCTGCTTAGGCTTTAACCCAGCACTCCATCTGTCCACAGTCATGATGGGCTCTCTCCTGGCTGCCACGACTGAGGCCCCTGGTGAGTACTTCTTTTCCGATGGGATCCGGCTAAAGAAATATCGCGGTATGGGTTCTCTTGATGCCATGGACAAGCACCTCAGCAGCCAGAACAGATATTTCAGGTGGGACAGGCAAGCCAGTTACCTCACCCTAATCCTACACTGACAATCTCATCTCTGCTGTGACCTTGCCCGTGTCTCTGCCTCTCCCTGCAGTGAAGCTGACAAAATCAAAGTGGCCCAGGGGGTGTCTGGTGCTGTGCAGGACAAAGGGTCCATCCACAAATTTGTCCCTTACCTGATTGCTGGCATCCAACACTCATGCCAGGACATTGGTGCCAAGAGCTTGACCCAAGTCCGGTGAGCTTGGGAAGCTGGGACATGGGTAGAGGGGCTGGTCCAGGGCCAGCTACCCACATTTGACCTCTGCCTCTCTTCAGAGCCATGATGTACTCTGGGGAGCTTAAGTTTGAGAAGAGAACGTCCTCAGCCCAGGTGGAAGGTGGTGTCCATAGCCTCCATTCGTAAGTCACCCTGTCCTTGGTGGGGCCTCTGCCATGCCTCATGCCTCCTTTCTCCTGCCCTCACCTCACAGGTGGTCTTTCTGCCTGCAGGTATGAGAAGCGGCTTTTCTGAACAGGGATCCAGCACACCTCCCTCGGTTTTTTTCAATAAAAGTTTAGAAAGAAAAAAGTGATGCCTGATCTTTCACCAGACAGGTGGGGCTGTGTAGCTGCCACTACCACAGATGCACACAAACACAGCACCCTCATTTCCAGGGGGAGCCTCAGGCCCTGAGATAAATGTGTTCCAGGTTCAAAAAGTTCTTCCTGAGGCTGCTCACAAAACAGCTCTGACCAGCTGTGGCTCCTGGGGTTTCAGTCTCACACTGAGCATCTGACTCTGGCTCCCGAGGGGTCAAAGGGTCAAAGAACAATCCCTGGGACTGGCATACACAGGGCATCCTGCTAGCCCATAGCTTGGCCATATAGGACCAGATCAAGACATATAAATATTCCCTAACTTGAATCTCTCTCAGCCATGCACGTTGGCTCACACCTGTAATCCCAGCACTTTGGGAAGCTGAGGTGGGCGGATCACTTGAGGTCAGGAGTTTGAGACCATCCTGGCCAACATGGTGAAACCCCATCTCTACTAAAAATACAAAGATTAGCTGGGTGTGGTGATGCATACCTGTAGTCCCAGATACTCAGGAGGCTGAGGCAGGAGAATCACTGGAACCTGGGAGGGGGAGGTTGCAGTAAGCTGACACTGCGTGACTGCACTCCACCCTGCGAAAGAGCAAGACTCCTTTTCAAAAAAAAAAAGCTGGGTATGGTGGTAGGGGCCTGTAATCCCAACTACTCAGGAGGCTGAGGCAGGAGAACCGCTTGAATCCTGGAGGTGGAGGTTGTAGTGGGCCAAGATCACGCCACTGCACTGCAGCCTGGGTGACAGAGCCAGACTCCATCTCAAAAAAATAAAGTCAGCTATTTTGTGAGAAAAGTCATTGAGGTCCTCTCAACTCTGCATGTGAGGAAGTAGCTCTAGAACAGGTAAACATACTACTACCTGGCTTCTGAAAAACTAAGGAATCCTAAGTAATCTAGATAAAAAAGTGACTCCTTGGTTTCTTCACATTCCCCTCCAAGAGCCCAGTGAGCCATCAGCTCCTGGCCAGCAACACACCTGATACAAAATGGGAGAAGTGTATAAATTATTATGTTGATAAGCAAGGTAAGTGCCAAAGGGTAGATAAGAGTGAAACCATCGGGAAGCCTGGCAGAGTGCAGTCAGCAGGACAGTTCACGGTGGTTCATTGAGCAGCTTGGCCCAAAGGTTTGAGTGAAGTCCCTCCTGGTGGAGGGATGAGAGCAGCTCCAGTTACTCGGCCTTCATGACACAGGAAGTTGAAGGTGGCACAGGCATTGGGCTGCAAAGAAAAGGCCAGCATCAGCCTGTCTAGCATCAGGCCTGTGCTCCCCGCAGCATGCCCCAGTCCCGGGACTCACCGTGTCCTGCACTTCCACAGCAATGCCCCGCTGCCTCATGGCTTGAAGCACCTGGGACTGCAGCCTCTCGGTCCGGTCTCCAGTCCCCACCACAACAATCTCTAGGGAAGAGAGAATGTGGCTAGTCTACAGTTCTGTTGAGATGCTGGGGTGGGGTCGCCTTTTGGGGCCCAGAACATCTCTGTTCTCCCTCCCCTCCCCCAGTACCTATCCGGGGCTCCAGCATCCAGAAGAGGGAAAAGCTCTCTTCGGTGATGTCCTGGTGGGATCCCACCTGTGCAGGGAGGCGGCACATTTAATACGACAAATCCACGCAGCCTCTCCCCACCTTCATCCACTACAGGACATAGAGGAAAGCCAAGTTTACAGGGACACAAGCAGGGTGAGGGCCTGTGACTCTGGGCCTCAGTTTCCTCACTGCGGGCCAGGACTCACGTTCCATTGCACCACCGAGTGCGGGAGTAGAGCGCAGGGCCCGAGCACGCGGTTTCCGTTTATCATGAAGCCGCGGCTGTTGTAGCTGTCGATGTACATGGCCTGAGCGGCCTCGCGTTGTAGCAGAGAGATGTGAGTCCGCTGATACAGCTCGTCATCCGCCGGCGAGAGTCGATGCCCGCGCCGCGGGGCCCTGCGGAAGAAAAGGGTCAGGGGAGTGGGGCCGGGCTGCGCCGCCCGAGAGGCCGGAAGGTGCGGGGCTGGCGGTCGCCGGCCCTACGGGAGGGATGGTCGAGGGCGCGGGGTGCAGGCTCACCAGGGAAGCTCAACGGGCGGACAGCGCAACGAGGGTCGCGCTCGATACAAGCTACGCAGCGCGAGAGCGGTGGCCATGGCTGAGCGACGCGCGGCGAAGTCGTCACCGGCGCCGTTAGTCACCAGGTTGGCGGGGCCCTGCGGAGCCTGACCCAGCGAGGCTGCAGCGCCCCCTGCGTCCTGGAGGGCACCGCACAGCTCGGCCGGCCCAGCAGGCGAGTGTTATCTGTCCGAGGAGGCCGAGTTCCCCGACCTCCGGCGCAGCTCCAGTGTCAGCACCTGCCGCCCTCCCCGTCCCGGGCCCTTGCCCACTGTCCCAGGGGAGTGGAACACCTGGTAGCGTGTCCGCCCTCAGGGCGTTGCCTGGGTCGCAGCCGCGGCCTGGCCCCCGGGCTCTCAGCTATTAAGACGCGCTCCCGGGGCGGGGCGGTCGCCCACCTAGTCCTGTCCCGAACACCTGGCCAGGCGGTCGGTGCCAGACTTCTAGCCCCTAATCCCAGCCTTTGGGGCTTCGGGCACCCTGGGCGGGTCAGTCGACTCAAGTTTCTCCGGCTCAGCGCCGAAGCACGCCCCGCCCTAACCGCCACCCGCGCGACCGTTGGCCTCTCCACCGCCCCCGGAGAGGGGCGTGGCCGAGCGTGGATTGGCTTCTCGGGTGCTCCAGGGGGCGTGGCCAGATGGTTTCTCCTTAAAATGGCTCCAAGTCTGCAGGCAGCCAGAGCAAGCGGAAGGGCAAGCTGTGGTAGTGTTGGGCTGACCGTTCGGCTGGGCCAGACCAGGCCGAACAGGACCAGACTTGAAGTAGAAGCGCGTGGAGCATCACCTTGTCCTCGTTCACTCTGCTCGCGTCCTGGGAGTCCCCCGTCCCCCGTCTTGATCCAAGTCAAGGGCCTACTGGCGCGAGAGTCGCTGGCGCCCGCGCGGGGTTTGGGCATCTCGGCACGCCGGCTCTGTCGTGGCCTCAGGGGAACATTGTCGCGTTCGCTACCCGCGGGGCCGAGCGAGCGGGAAGCTCGGCACAGTCGGGGCCTGGTGGTGGGTCCCCTGGGGCCGGTCGCAATGGGTTTCCGGGGGTCCCGCTGCTGCTCTGTGGACCCCTTCGGCTCCTGGTGCTCTGGGCGCTGGCAGCGTCACCGGACAAAGGCCACGAGCGCGGGGGTGTCCCCGAGGCGGACGCGCGGGTTTACTTCCTCTCCGGCCCCACGGGCGCGCTTCCCTCCTGGCGGATTCCGAAGCCCGCCCCACCACCGTCACCGCACCAGTGGCCCAGGCAGGCTTCGTGGGACCAACAGGGCTAATCCTGCCCCGCGGATCTAATCCGGATCGGGACCCGGTCCCAGGGGAGGCCCCCACCTCCCCTTCTATTGTTCTGGGGCCCAGGTGAGCGTCTTGTTCCCTCTAGACTCGGTTTCACAGCCTACTCCCGGGTCTTCCTCCTGGGAGTGGGGATGGGCGGGTTCTGATGTGGCCCCAGGGCGAGTGACCTGGGGGCAGGAGCTCCCCCGCCCCCCCACCAACGGCTGGACAGCGGGCAACGGAATCCCAAAAGCAGCTGTTGTCTCCAGAGCATTCCAGCTGCGCTTGGATTTCGTCCCCTGCTCTCCTGCCTGAGCAGCGCCCTGGCCCAGATGGGGTGCCCCTGACCCCCAGACATAATTTACTGAGCCGCTTGGGTCTCAGTTCCTCTCAGGTGCGCCCTCAGGCTGGAGGTGATGGGTGTAGAGGTGGGAGAGCCGAGGCTGGTGGCCATCTCTGGAACCCTGGGGAGCATTGGCGAGGGAGGGTGGACCCAGGACCTCCGGGTAGGAATGCAATGGTAGTGAGTCCCCGAGGGCTGCCTCAGCCCGCATTTCGCTAAAGATAGCCCTCTACTTCCTGGGGAAAAACCACCCCAACCGTCTTCGTGGATGAGAGTATCTAAAGTCCTCAGTTTGGCTGAGGGTTCCCAACCCTGCCAAGCAGTTGACTCCAGGTTATGCACCTTCAGAATGGAAAGCGCTTTGGAATGACACGATCACTCCCGTTGAGTGGGCCCCCGAGAAGCCATCGGGAATGTCGTGTCCGCCCAGTGCTCTTTCGGCGCCTCCCAGCAGGACCTCAGCCCTGGCCCAGAAAAGGGCCTTGCCAAGCTTTTCCTGCCCCTGGGTTTCCCTGCTCTCCGGATTTCCCAACACACTACTGAGTTAGCTTCTCTATTAAAAGGAATGGGGGTGGGGTGGGGGGGGGTGAGTATGTTACAGTGAAATGAAAACATTTGGGAATCTTTGTGGGAGAAAGAAAAAAGCTTTCCTATTGGTAGAGGAGTAAGATATTCCAACTGAGGCCTATTTTTCTACTTCTTATGGTCGCATTATTGGGTTGGCCTGTAAATGGCTGTTGCCTAAAACAGGAAGCGTAAGGATCCTTGTTAAAGCACACCAGGTTAAAGGAGTCACATTAAAAGCTGGTCATTCTGGGCCGGGCTCAGGGGCTCACGCCTGTAATCCAGCACTTTGGGAGGCCGAGGCAGGCGGATCACCTGAGGTCGGGAGTTCGAGGCTTGACAAACTTGGAGAAACCGTGTCTCTATTAAAAGTATTAAAAATACAAAAGTAGCCGGCCATGGTGGCGCATGCCTGTAATCCCAGCTACTTGGGAGACTGAGGCAGGAGAATCACTTGAACCTGGGAGGGGGAGGTTGCGGTGAGCCAAGATCGCACCACTGCACTCCAGCCTGGGCAACAGGAGCGAAACTCCGTCTCAAAAAAAAAAAGCTGGTCATTCTGGAAGGCATCATGATGGTTGTAATTTCTCAGGTATCAAGAGAAGAAAACTGGCAATTGTATCAAGAGTGCGCATTTATTGGGCATAAAGACGACCTGGGCTGGGCGCAGTGGCTGACTCCTGTAATCCCAGCACTTTCGGAGGCCAAGGCGGGCAGATCACGAGGTCAGAAGTTCAAGACCAGCCGGGCCAACATGGCGGAACACGTCTCTACTAAAAATATAAAAATTAGCCGGGGTGGTGGCGGGCGCCTGTAATCCCAGCTACTCGGGAGCCTGAGGCTGGAGAATCGCTTAAACCCGGGAGGCGGAGTCTGCAGTGAACCGAGATCGTGCCACTGCACTCCAGCCTGGAAGATAAGGGCAAGCCTCCGTCTCAAACAAAAGAAAAACACTCATATCTCAAACGAGAAAATGCTTGCAAATAACCTGAAACCGCGGAACACTATTCTTTTTAAAACGATGTTTTAAGTAGGTCGTGAAAGTGGCCTTAATGTTATACTGCCTTATTCCAGTGACAAGTATTCATCATGTGTAAAATGGGAGAAATGAAATGTTATTAACACAAAGATGTGAGACATCGATGAGAAGAGACGGTACCCTGTCTGATCCCCCACCGGGTCGCGAGGATCCTTTTCCTGGTTGAGACCTGGCCACAGGGAAAGAACCCTAGGCCCGGGAAGGACTCCCGAGATTTCAGATCCAGGGCCCGGCTGTGCAAGTGGACAGCGCGGAAGGGGCGCTGGGGGTGGTAGGTCGAAAGTAGTTGACACGGCTCCTGCTGGCGGAATCTGTCCTCTTACGCGGACCGCCGCCGCATACCCGCCCCAGCCAGTCGGTCCTTTCCGGAAGTTCACCTCCCTAAATTCTTTTTCCGGTTCCGCTTACTCCTTCCGGTCACCATGGCGACCAGGCGCCTTGGGGTTGGGGAGACGCTGGGTGCCCTCAACGCGGCCCTGGGGCCTGGCAGTCCGGTATGGATCAAGGAGACGCGCACCCGCCACCTGCGTTCCCGAGATTTTCTGGCACCGCACCGCGCGCTGCAGGCGCGCTTCGATGACGGCCAGGTGGGCGTGAGCCGGGCGAGGCCGTGCGGCTGGGAGCTGGGTTCCGTGCCGTGGCGCACTCACACGCCCATTCTCCCGCAGGTACCCGAGCATTTGCTCCATGCCCTCGCCTGCCTGCAGGGTCCCGGTGTGGCCCCGGTGCTGCGCTGCGCGCCGACTCCCGCGGGTCTGTCTCTCCAACTGCAGCGGCCCGCGGTCTTCGAGCGCGTCCTTAGCGCCGTGGCCGCCTATGCCACGCCCGCCTTGCCTGTCTTGCCGGGCCAGCGCGTCTTACTACACTGCCCAGCCCTGCGCAGCTCCCCTTGCGCACTCCGCTTGAGCCAGCTGCGTACGGTGCTCGTGGCTGATCACCTGGCGCGAGCTCTGCGCGCTCACGGGTGAGCGGGGCCTCAGGGCCGGAATGGAGAAGGTGGGACTACCGGGGACCTAGAGAGCGAGCGGCGTCGCCCTTGGGGACAGCGGCTGGAGGTGGGAAGTCTTGGCGAGCTGGACCAGCTGCTCAGGCTGAGGCGACCGCCCTCCCTTCCCAGGGTGTGCGTGCGCCTAGTGCCAGCTGTGCAGGATCCGCACATGCTGACCTTCCTGCAGCAACTGCGGGTGGACTGGCCCGCTGCCTCGGAGAGAGCTTCCTCCCACACCCTGAGGATCCACGCCCTTGAAGAAGTTACCTCTGCTCATGACGGGAGGACACTGTCCCCTGGCATCCTAGGCAGACTGTGTCTGAAGGAGCTGGTGGAAGAACAGGGCCGCACAGCTGGCTATGACTCCAACCTGGACAACTGTCTGGGTAGGACCTGTAGCCTAGCAAGGCCAGAAAAGGCAGGAGCGGGTGGGGGTGGGGACATCTCCGCTTCTTGCCAGCCTCAGCACCTGTATGTTCTCTTTGCAGTGACTGAGGATCTCCTGTCTGTGCTAGCTGAGCTGCAGGAGGCTCTATGGCATTGGCCAGAGGACAGCCACACAGGCCTGGTTAGTGACTCCCAGCCCTGTAGGTTCTCCCAAACCAAGTATACTGTACTTCCACAGTTATGATTGTCCTCCCTTAGGCTGGGTCCCCAGATACTGGTACAGACAGCTGCCTGGTTGTACATGTTGTTAGCTGTGAGGAGAAGTTCCAGCAACAGAAGTTGGACCTGCTTTGGCGGAAGTTGGTTGACAAGGCTCCACTCAGACAGGTGGGTTAATGATGGAGCTCCCCACCACCTAACCCCTAACCTCAGGGGGCCCTTGAAAACCCATCGAGGGGCTTGTTAGCTGACAGGTCCAGAAACCCACACTTGATCTTGGGGGAGTTGCTGGACTTGAGAGGGCATGTGCAGCAGGTGCGGAAGCTCTGGGGAAGGGGGGGCTCTGTAGACACATCCCAAGAACACCAAAGACCAGGTTGAGAAGGCTGAACCGTGCGTAGCCTGAGGAGCTGGGTAGAAGGAGCCACTCAACCTGGCAGTTCCAATTTGAGAGAATATGGGCTGAGTAGAGGCACCAGATTTGGGCTCCTCAAGGGACTTCCTGGCTGAGCCCCTGCCATCTTCCTGACAGAAGCACCTGATCTGTGGCCCTGTGAAAGTAGCTGGTGCACCTGGCCCTCTGATGACTGCCCCTGAGTACTACAAGTGAGTGAGGCTGGGAGGAACACCAACCTTAGCCAGGGTAGTGTGGGGGGACTCTTCACCCACGACCCTGCCCACTGGCCTCTCTTCCACAGGTTCCGGCATGCCCAGGTGTGCAAGGCCTCAGCACTGAAGCATGGTGGGGATCTGGCCCACGGTATGCCTGGGAAACCCTGGCTATGTTCTGGGTTAGAGGCAGGTTTTTTGCATCCCTGCCTTTGCCTGCAGACTGAATGACCAATCCTATACTCCCTCAGATCCAGCCTGGACAGAGATCTTTGGTGTTCTCTCTGTGGCCACCATCAAGTTTGAGATGCTGAGCACAGCCCCACAGAGTCAGGTGAGCCTGGGAGCCTGACAGGGCCAGTGCTGGGGTACCGGGTGTGGTGGCTGCCTTCTCTCTGCAGCTGTGCTCCTATTCCCTAGCTCTTCCTGGCTCTGGCTGACAAGAACATCTCCACAAAGGGCACAAAGAGTGGCACCTTTGTCATGTATAATTGTGCCCGTCTTGCCACACTCTTTGAGAGTTACAAGTGTAGTATGGAACAAGGTCTGTACCCCACTTTTCCTCCTGTGAGCAGTCTGGACTTCTCACTACTACATGATGAGGTGAGTGTCCCTCCCGGTAGCTGGCACAAAGGAAGCCTGGACTTCCCCTCCCAGCACCTTTCTCCCCCACAGGGTGAGTGGTTGTTGCTCTTCAACAATATCCTCCCCTTTCCGGATCTGCTGAGCCAGACAGCAATGCTGGACTGCACAGCCCCAGGGCTCCACATCACTGCACGCACAGAGATGGTGAGGCACAACCAGGACACTCTACACTCTATTCTTTATTCTGGCCTGGGGCACAAGAGCAAAGAGATGGGCCAGTGACTCAGTCTCTGTCTCTAGATGTGCAAGTTCCTGGTACAGCTCAGCATGGATTTCAGCTCCTACTACAACCGAGTACACATCCTAGGGGTGAGCGCACAGCAAAACGGGTTTGGGACATGCAGAGAGGTACAGGGTAAAGACAAAGGAAGCAGAGGATGAGACCAGTAGGCCCCTTCTCTTTCAGGAGCCTCGACCACACCGCTTTGGTCAGATGTTCGTCCGCCTGCAGCTTCTGAGGGCTGTGCGTGAGGTGCTCCATACTGGCCTGGCTATGCTGGGTCTCCCTCCACTGAGCCACATCTGAGGCCACAGAGGCTCCAATATTTGGGAATGTTCACAAAGTCATCAACTGGAAAAAAAGCAAAAACCCACGGCCAAAATAAATTGGTACTGTTACAAAGTTCTGTCTTGTCATGGGGAGTGGGGCATATTCTTGGCAGCACTCCACTCACCTTCAGTTCCTGGACTGATGTCAGGAACCCGCGGCCGCCACCTCCTCCCCTCAAGGCATGCTGAGCATGGGCACAGACAGCCCATCCCTGCTCCATGCTGTCTGCGAGCAGGCCCCATGCCCAGCACACCGGCCACCGTGGGATACCTCAGTCATACCAGTTGTAAACCTCAAGCCCCTGACCCCCAAGGGCACAGCGGTGGCCAAACTCAGGGCTCACAGGCCAGCAGTCCATGTCAGCCACATCTGGCACATGGTACACAGTGCTATTCATGAAGGTGGGTTCACCATGCCCCAGACGCCAGAAGGTCAGCCGTTGATCAATGGAGGCTGAGACCATGATACTTGGGCTTAGGATCTTGAGGCCTGTCACATGGGCAGCATGTGCACAGGGGACACAGTATTCCTCTAGCACACGCAGCTGGGGTACCAGCCCACCCTCTCCCACAGCCTCTTCTAGCTCTAGCATCTCCACAGCAAGCACGAAGACATGGAGGGATCCATCTTCACTGCCACTGGCCACGAGATGGTGGCCCTCACGGGTGGGCAACGTGTGCAGGCTGTTGATACCACAGCTGTGGGCCTGCAGAGTCAGAGAGGGGGTGCCAAGCCCTGAAGGAAGAGGGTAGTTGTCAGGGCCCCGCCTGTCACATGTGTGAGGGCTATGTGACAGGTGAGGAGGGGTAGCCATGGTTGCACATTAGCTACTCACGGTAGGGAAGCCCAGGATCCACTGGAGGCTCCAGGACAGTGGAGCCATGGTCTAGCACAGTGGTGAGATCCCAGAAAGCCAGGTTGCCATCAGTAGCTGCGCTGCACAGGAGGAGCCTCCTGGAAGCCAGGAAAAGACAGCCTGGTCAATGACAGAGATGAAGCTCAACAGGAACCCCCCCACCCAGCACATGCAGGACCATCATCCAGCCCCTCTCACCGTCTCTGGTTGGGTGCCTCATGTGTAAAGGAGTGGACCTTGAGGACACATCGCTTATGGTGGAAGGTTTCAGCAAGGAGCTGCAGAATCCGCCCGGAATCCTGCAAGAGAAAGAGCCTGGGGGGCGGGGGGTGGCCTAGCTCAGAATGCATCCTAAACAACCTTACTTCCTTTGTCTCCCGCCCCACTGGGCCCTGTGCTCTCACCTTACAGCCCCATCACTACAGGCTGCAGCCACAAGGGGGCCAAGGCTGGGCTGGTCAAGTTCACACACAGCAAGGGACATGTACCTGCAGGGACAACACGCAGCTGTCAGGTGGAGCCTGCAAGCCTGGGAGCATCTGCATGACCCATACCACACCCTGCCCAGGAGCATATATTACCTGGTCTCTGGGTCTGCCTTGACCATTCGATGCCGATTGCGTTGTCGGTCCCAATAGTCATCTAGCCGGTGGGACGAAAGGTGCATGACATGGCAGGCGAGGCGGCTTGGGGTGCTGGGTTCCGGAGTAACCATGATGCTGAAGCAGTGCATCTCAGCCCGTCCCCCCGCAGACACCACATGGGCAGTCAGGCCTGGCTGAGGATCCTGAGGGCCACCTGGGGTGCCAATGCCCCATACAGCCACAGCACGTACAGAGGAGATGTGGTTACAAACAGCTGTGAGTGCATGGGCTGAGCCTGTTGTTGTAGGGAGTGCTAGGACACAGACAGTAGTGTCCTCACTACAGGTGATCACAATGTCAGTCAAGTCAGGTCCCTCACTGCCAGGCTCCAGGTCGTCAGGCTGCATGAAGCTGGGCACTCCATATTCAGGCCCCAGGGTAATGGTGCCCACACGCTTTACACAAGTGATCTCACGGCCATGCAGACCCTCCCGGAGAATCACATGTGGCCGAGTGCAGCCACCCAGAGCCCTGTACAGCATGACATCCCCATCCTTGAGGTAAGCAAAGGCCATGGCCGCCTCAGTATCAGAGAATGCCCACGAACGGTGCCCTCCACCACAGTTGACAATGTGCAGCTTCTCGTGTGACCGGGGGCTCCACACCACAAACTCATTGGCATGGAAACCCAGGATAACCATGCTCCCATCGGGCACTATACGGAGCCCAGCTAGCCAGTTCATGCCTCGACAGGACTTCTGCCTTAGGACTGGCTGGAGCTGGCCGTCTCGTACAAATAGCTGGTAGTAGGCGCCATCGCGCCCTGTGGTATACACATAGCCACCATGGCATGTGACTGAGGTCACACCCTGCTTCCCATGCAGAGAGGGCAGGGTAGACACTGGGCCCAACCCAGTGAAAGCATTCCCACCCCCACTACTACCACTACCCACTCCAGGTGCCCCAGCACCAGCCCCAGTCTTGCCTCCCACCCCAGGGTCCTTGAGCAGACCTGGTCTGGAGGGGAACAGTAGCACAGAGCCCCGGCGGTCACCACACACCAGGAAGTCACCTGGGGGTAGGAAGGCACTGCATGTGTGCCATCTCTGCTTGCTTGGGGGCAGCAGGTACCGACAACGTTCCTTGACAAAGATGGCCTTGCCAGAGGGTGCGGCTGAGATCTCTAGGCAAGCTACTACCCCACCAGGGCCCGATGCCAGCAACAGGAGCTCCTCATAACCACGCAGGGCCCAGCTCAAGCTGTGCACCTTCCCAGGAAACAGGGTCTGGTCCACAGCAGCAGTTGGAGTGTTGATGGGGACAATCTTGACACAACCTTCCCCATTGGCCATAGCACACAATCCAAAGCCCTCAGGACCAGGAGCTGCCTCCAGCAGGCAGTAGGACTGGAAATGTTTATCCTCTAGCAGTTGCTCCCAGCACTTGACCTCGACGTCATAGAGATACAGGGCCCCTGTATCAGTCACTGCCAGCAGTCGCCAAGAGCCAGCCAGCGTCACAGCCTTGAGGGTACCTGGCCTACTACGGGACTTGAAGCAGAGAGCCGAGACCCCCAATCCCCGGTACCCACGCCTTACCAAGTGCCACAGCCGAATGCCTGAGTCATCACCCCCAGTGATCACCCAGGCCTGCCTCTCATGGGCAGCTATGGCCCGGATCCCACGTCCCTGGTGTCCCCGAAAGGCCTGGAGGATCTCACCTTCATGGCTCCACACCAAGCAGACACAGTCCTCTCCTGCACTGATAAGGTAATTCTCTAGGAGCTTGACCTGCCATACACGGGCGCTGTGCCCAAAGCAGTGCCCAATATTCTGCACCCGACCCCCAGGCACTCGCAGGTCGCCCACCTTCCAGATACGAACGCTTCGGTCTTCTGAAGCTGTAGCCAACAAACCCTTGCTTTCCAGGTATGACATGCTGAAGATGATGCCCACGTGCCCACTGATTCGTCGGTCAGGTGCTACAGGTTTGTTGTCTGCTAAGGCAGTTGCTGGGTACCAGACCAAGAGCTGGTTGGAAACAGCACCTGCCACTATGGTCAGCTCCTTCCAGGCGTCTCCAATCAGGCAGGCTGAAGAAAGGGTGCACCTGTCTGTGCAGGGCACCTCTTGCAGGATGCACCCTACTATAGGATCATATAGGACCACTGAGTTGTGGCCCAGGGCCAAGGCTATATTTCCCTCAAGCCAGCGTGCATCCCAAATCCAGTCAGACATGTTCCACAGGCCAGAGCGCCAAAGCTCCCGGAAGTGGCCCTGTCCCCAGCTAATTTTCACAACTCGGAGTCCCTTGCTTCCAAACACAGCCACCATGGCCTCCAAGTCAAAGTCTCCATTAGGCTCTGGCCGCACCCGGAAGCCATGGATAAGATAGTGGCCAAGCAGGTTCTGTACTCGCTTTATCATCCGCAGATGCCCACCAAAGTCCAAGCTGTACACCAGGACATCGGGACCCTCACCTAGACAGAGGCAAAGAACCATGTCAGAGCTATGTACCTAACTCTGATGACCCACAGGGAAGAGATGGGGATCAGGGAAACTTCTCGGCATGTAGCCTATGAACGCATCAAGACACACAATCCTGCAGCTTGAATCTTAGAAAATCCTTGGTTGAGAAAATCCTCGGCCGGGTGCGGTGGCTCACGCCTGTAATCCCAGCACTTTGGGAGGCCAAAGAGAGACTCCGTCTCAAAAGAAAAAAAAAGAAAATACTTGATCTCAGCCAGGCGCGGTGGTTCACACCTGTAATCCTAGTACTTTGGGAGGCCAAGGTGGATGAATCACCTGAGGTCAGGAGTTCAGGACCAGCCTGGCCAACAAGGTGAAACCCCATTCTATTAAAAATACAAAAATTAGCCGGGCATGGTGGCAGGTGCCTGTAATCCCAGCTACTCGGGAGGCTGAGGCAGAAGAATCGCTTGAACCCAGCAGGTGGAGGTTGCAGTGAGTCGAGATCGTACCACTTCACTCAGCCTGGGTGAAAGAGCGAAACTCCGTCTCAAAAAAAAAAAAAAAAAGGGAAAAAAGAAAATCCTTGGTCTCAGCTTCAGCTGGACTTTAAGTGCTGACTTTGTGTTTCCCTCATCAGTCACTCTTTTTTTTTTTTTTTTTTGAGACAGAGTCTCACTCTGTCGCTGAGGCTGGAGTGCAGTAACACTGTGTTGGCTCATTGCAACCTCCATCTCCAGGGTTCAAGCAACTCTCTTGTCTCAGCCTCCCGAGTAGCTTAGCTGGGATTACAGGGGCCCACCGCCATGCCTGGCTAGTTTTTTTTTTTTTGAGACAGAGTCTTGCTGTGTTGCCCACGCTGGAGTGCAGTGGCACGATCTCGGCTCACTGCAAGCTCCGCCTCCCGCGTTCACGCCATTCTCCTGCCTCAGCCTCCCGAGTAGCTGAGACTACACGCGCCTGCCGCCACGCCCGGCTAATTTTTTGTATTTTTAATAGAGACGGGGTTTCACCATGTTAGCCAGGATGATCTCAATCTCCTGACCTCATGATCCGCCCACCTCGGCCTCCCAAAGCGCTGGGATTACATGCGTGAGCCATGGCACCCAGCCAGTTTTTATATTTTTAGTAGAGACAGGGTTTCACCATGTTGGTCAGGCTGGTCTTGAACTCCTGACCTCAGGTGATCCACCCACGTTGGCCTCCCAAAGTGCTGGGATTACAGGTGTGAGCCGTTGTGCCCGGCCTCATCAGTCACTTTTTTTTTTTTTTTTTGAGACAGAGTCTTGCTCTGCCACCCAGGCTGAAGTGCAGTGGCATGATCTTGGCTCTCTGCAAGCT